TTTTGTTTTCCCTGACAATCTTTCTTCCTTTTCTGAAAGACACTCTGAGCATTTAAAGTGTAGAATACTTTATTTTTACATCTTTAAACTAAGAAATAATGTTGAAAAACTATAGAAAATTAGTTAACAACTAATTAATCACTAAATTACCCAGAAATTGTAGTACTATGTATATTCCCAAGAGAAATACACATAAATGCTTACAAAACATGTAATACATGTATATGGCAATATTATTTAATAAAGACCAAACTGGATAAAAAAAGTCCACCAACATTAGAATGGATAAATAAAGTATATTCATAAAATGGAATCTATATAGCAATTAAAGTTAAGTTCCATACTACTGCTACAATAATAAAAAGGTAATGTTGAGTCAAAGAAGCCAGAGATAAAATAATTATATCATTTCACTTAGATAAAAGATTTAAGACCCAGAAAACTGGTTTGTTTCATCAGAAGTCAGGTAGTGGTTGGTATCCTTGGGAGGGAGATAGTACTGAGTAACAGGGAGCACAACAGATACTCAGTATTGTTTGCAGTGTTTTATTTCTTAATTTGAAACATGTATAATCAGTGATAATTCAGTAGCATATATACTTCTGTCTTGTATAACCATCTGTATGTTCATTGAACATATTTATTATCAAAAAACAAGATTAGATTATAAAAGTGTATTATTTTATAAAAGTATTAATCAAGTATATTCTGATTATAAATGATATATTGTTTTAAGAATGAGAATACCAAAAGCCTGAGGGTAAAAAGGTGTTCCCGCCCAATTCTAATAAAAGAAAGTTGTAGATTTATTACTATTAAATAAAATAAATTTTAAGATCAACTCATTTCAGAAACAGAGTGACAACAAAATATCTAGTTCACTGAGAAATATAATAATAATTTAAACTTCCATATACCTAATAATGGATCCCCCAAAATATATTTTGAAATGAACATAGCTACAAAGAAAAATATAAAAACTTGTAGTCATATTGGGAGATTTAAGCATATCTCTTTCAGGGTCTAGTAACAGCATTTATAAATAGTCAGCACAGAGATGATCTGAATAAGATTAACAAATTTATCCAAAAGATATACTGAATACTGCAACTAGCCCCTGATATATACCTATTATGACAGGCAGAAAAATGATCTCAGAATAATGTCCCCTCAGAACCTATGAATATGCTATATCACAAGATGAAAGAAGCTTTAAAAACGGAATTAAGATTACAGATATTATAACAGGAAGATATTTGAATTACCAATTTGGACACAAATCTAATTACATGAGCATTTAAAAGCAGAGAACTCTCCAACTAGATGCAGAAGAGTCAGAAAACTTCCTCCATCTGGAGACAGAAGAGGGAGCGGCAGAAAGATGAGGTTGAAAGAGAAACTAAAGAATTTGAAGAATAAGAACCTGGACTGCCATTTCTTACTCTGGAGATGGATGAAGGGAGCCACAAACCAAGAAAATGCTCGCAATTTCTAAAAGCTGAGAATGACCCCAAGCCAACAGCCAGCAAGGAAATGAAGTCCTTAGTTCTACAACTTCATGAAACTGAATTCTGGCAACAGCCCTCTGAATTTGGGAGTGGAAGCAGACATAACTTCAGAGTTTTCAGAAAGCAAAGCATTCAAGTTGACACCATGATTTCACCCTTGTGAGACTCTAAGCAGAGAATCAGTTAATTTACACCTACCTAGACACATATACCTGTGAGATAACAATGTGTTAAGTATGTGTTAACTTGAACTAGGAATAGGAAAATAATATGCTGTCCTTTATAATAAAACTAAGTACATAATCAAAAGTCCCAATATTTGACCATAAAGAAAATTTGAATGAATTTTAAAGGATTAAATTCATACAGAAAATGTTATTTGACTGTAATACAAATGAGAAACACATTGGTAAATATATATATATATATATATAACTAAAGCAACCCATATGTTTAAAATTTAAGAGATGTATTTCTAATCACAGAACAAAGAGGAAATCACAAAGGAGTTTAGAAAAAAGTTCAAATAAGTCCCTTGTGGAGTATAGTTTATGCTGCAAAAAGAGAAAAAAATAAAGCCAATGCTTATATGATCTAGAGAAACTGCTATGTAAGTGTTCAAGAGTGGATTCTTTTGCATTAAAAAAAAAAATTTGGCTGCACAGATCGGGGTGCAGAATCTTATTTCCTGACCAGGGATCAAACCCACTTCCCCAGAAGCAGAACCACCAAGTCTTAACCACTGGACTGCAAGAAAATCCCAAAAGTGGACTTTCATAAGGCTGTTGATGAAGACCTACTGAGTAAAGTACATAGAACCCAAATGTTCATTAACAGTGAGTGAATCAATTAACTGTGGTATATTTATTGCAATAGATTCCTATATAATAGTGGTTCTCAAAATGTGAACTATGTATCCTTGAAAACAGACATTTTCAGGGAGTCCATAAGATCAAAACTATTTCTATAATACTTTTGAAAGAAAAGTGAAAGTGTTAGTTGCTCAGTCATATCCCATTCAGGCTCCTCTGTTCATGGAGATCTCCAGGCAAGAATATTAGAGTGGGTAGCCATTCCCTTCTCCAGGGTATCTTCCTGACCCAGGGATTAAACCCAGGTCTCCTGCATTGCAGGCAAATTCTTTACCATGTGAGCCACGAGGGAAGCCCCATAATATTACTGAGGCATTTTTTACTTTTTTTGTCTATGTTGACATTTGCCCTCATGTACAAAAGTAATGGTGGGTATAAAACTGCTGGTGCATTAACATAAATCAGTGACTTCAAACTGTATTAGTAGTCATTAGTCGTTGTATTCTTTACTGCCGCATACTTGTAGTGCAAAAAATAGAAAAGAAACCTAGTTTTTCCTAATAATCCTCCTGTTAAAGTTATAACTAATTATTTTATTAAATGTCCATCCTGTAACACTCCTCTTTTTAACAACTTGTGTGACAAAATGGAAAAAAAAATGAAAAAAACAAAACTTCCTTATGCCTACCAAAACATGATGGTTGGCTGAAGGAAAAACAGTTTGAGCTGTCAGCAGACTTAACCACATTTTTCATGGAACAACATTTTTATTTGAAAGAATGACTAACAGGCAAACTATGGCTAGTTACACTTAGGCATTTGTTATTTATTTCCCCCTTGCCCTCCAAAAAAAGAAAAAGAGCCTCACTTGTTACTTCAAGAAAAACAACTGGCAGATTTGCTGTCAATGATGAAATCTGAATTTTCAGTTGGAATCTTAAAATTTTAGAAAACTTCAATCCACAACTATAAGCTTTAGAACGTCACCAAATTTAAAGATTTTTCTGGTTAGTTCGATAGAAATAAAAATAAAGGTGATTTTTAAATATTTTATAATGAAATAGATCAATATATATCAATACTTGGAAGATCTCTAACTCAGTGAACCAATATATTTCAAATGACCAATGTATACATAAAGTTAAAAATACATGAGTAAATATAATCTACTACAATAGCAAGGTGAACCAAAGGAATTTAACCTTACAGAGTACAAACAATGAATTGATCCAGTTTGAATTCAACATTGTAACTGTCAAGCTTTTGTGTAGTGTCAAAGAAGAGCATCCATTTTTACCTACAAAAGCTACTAGAATACTCTTCCCTTTTAAAACTTAATACCTAAGTGAAATCACATTACTTCATACCCATCAAACAAAATAACATATTGCAAAATATTCCATAAAGGAGAAGATATGACAATTGCACTATTTTCTACTAATAGGCCAAATATTAAAGAGATTTGCAAAAATAGAGTACTATGTATTCTCATTTTTTGCTTTGGAAAAAAGCTATTTAATATTAAGATATTACTTATGTCAACATGTAATGGACTTATTCTGGATATTTTAAAATAATCAATGTACATTTTAAAATGTTTCTCAGTTTTAACTTAAATAGAGTAAATATTGATAGATCAAGCCCATAATATCTCTGGGGTTCTTAGTAAATTTTTAGAGTAAATAAACCCAAGACAAACAAGAACTTATGCTATTCAGAAATAAAAATTTATTGTAATTTCAGTACAGACTAATCTTACCTATATAATGTTGGGCAAAATAGCAAGTATATTAAGAAATAGTATAATTCCATTGCATAAAATTTTCAATTCTTACTCTTATATTAAGAATAAAAAATGAGAATGTGATGTAAAAGGCAATTCATAGAAAATTTTTAAAATAATTTACCTTCATTAGTTTTAGAAAAATTACATCCCATGAATGTGCTTTTTCTTATTTTTAATTTTTATTTTTTGGTTTATAAAGTGTCAATTGTAAATTACCTTTTATATAACTGAGCTTATAATTATATGCAATGAATTATTAGCAAAATAACTAGTAAGTTATGGGCAAAATATCAGACAGATATTTGTTATGCAAAATTATGAATATTAACCAAAAATAATTCACAACTATTAGTTTTAATATAACCTCCTAGAATCTGTTAAAACAAAATCACTTTTCATTTGTGGACATTTCAGTTTCATAATTTCATATTTAGATCACATTTATGTTTTTAATATCAAATTTCTCTAAATATTTCCCACTCTTTATATATATTTTAAACAATCAGGAAAATGATTTGATAAAAATCTCTTCTAAATGTTGTTAAAATCAGCAATTAAAATGTACACAGAAAATCCATAGCCTCACAACTTATTTCCCAAAGTTTGAATTGATCAATATCCTAATGTAAATGATATATGTAATAGATATGATAAACAGTAATAATACACACACATAAATATGTTTATATATACTTATAGTAATTACTTTATATGAATGACATGTTCAAATCAACATGTCATAAATTAATCACACTTATACACTTATACAAAACTTGGGGATTTGATATACACTTATACAAAACTTGGGGATTTTATAAAAATGATTTTTAATACTCTTTTAGTTCTATTAGGTAAAATGTCTATAACTAACAGTTAATTCCATTTATGTTTCAGGTTAACAGGATTCCATCTGCCACCACCAGTAACAAGTACCAAATCTGTATTCTCACTACGTTTGACCAGTGATTTTGCTGTTAGTGCTCATGGATTTAAAGTATACTATGAAGGTAAGTGATGGTAATATAAAAAGACCATTGCGCAACTTAATGTAACAAAACCAAAATTTTCAGCGGTAAAAATAGAAGAAAAATCACCAGGACAGAAGATATAGCTCATCATGTTACATCAAATCTTACACCAAGATTCACCTTCTCAGTAATCATCAATACATAATAAAAAGCTACACTTAGTATGCCTTAATGCTTCATTGCAATGAGCCCAGACAGACAAAAAGTTTTTCCTTAAATCTTAGGAGATGAAACCATGGCATCATTATAGGTTTTAGCCTTAATAAAAGAGAACAAAATGTGTCAGTGAAAGGAATCTAGGCCTAATTTGAGATTCATTCAGGCATAACAGACTCCAGCCTATTCTCTGTATTTTGCCTATCTGCCATAAAATAAACTGGTAATTTGGGTTCTCCACAAGTTAGAATCAAGAGAAAAGTCCATTAAGAGTCAAGAGTTGACATTTTTCATTTTAAACCAGTCTTTCCAGTTCCACAGATCCATAATTCCTTAATCAGAAAGAGGAAAACAAAGAACCCTTAAAAAAAATAGAAGTTTGAGGCCATTAATAATCTTTATATTCCTTTATCCCTCATAGTATGGGTACTCATGTTTCACGATACAAAGATTGTTTGATAATGGGATATCACAGGCTCTGATGATGGTGTTAGAAATGCATAGAATCTACATTGTTTTCTCTTTTTGAAATGAAAAAAAAATTCTGAAGGCAAAAATAAACTTTTCTCATGTATGTGCATGTACTCAGTTTTGTCCAACTCTTTGCAACCCCATGGACCATAGCCCATCAGGTTCCTCTCTCCATGAGACTATCCAGGTGAGACTATTGGAGTGGGTTGCCATTTCCTCCTCTAGGAATGTGATCTCAAGGGTTTATATATTGAGGTCATGTATTTGCCATTTCTTCTTTATGTGATTTAACAAAATTTCACCTAGTTAGGCAAGGGTATCTTTTTTACCCATGGAAATAGCATGACAAAATTCAGCTCACATCCCCAGGACCACATAACCAAAATTTACCACAGTAAATCTAGCATCACGGTAAAAGATATACAAATACAGTAGCAAGGGTGGTTACTTTCTAAGCACATAGTAATTCAAAATATGTTCAAAGAGCACACTAGCAAAAAAAAATCATACATAAAATAGATTGATTTAGTATGAAGTTTAACAGTTTGCATGGGGGGGGGGGGAGTTTTAAGCTAAGAATTTCATCTAGTGCTTCCACCCTAGGGAGAAAAGCACCCTCTAGCAAACAATTAAGGAAAAATAATTTTTATCTTTTTGATGCCCTAAATAATGCCATATCACAGTAGTTGTGAAGACAATTTTCTACCTAATATTATTTCTGAACTGTCTTTCTCTAGCAGGGGAGGATGCATTCCATGACTTAATTTCCTACATTGTAATAGTAATAATCATTATTTTTGAAGGTGATTTCACAATAGCTGAATACTTTTAACTTGGCGACTTAATTCACACTTTCAAACACTATAAAACAAAGGTTTAATTTTAAGTGTAATCTTGGCAATATTGAAGGGGCTAGTAATACAATAATTTTATAGTAAAGGTTCCATAATAGAGAACTTGAACTCTGCTCATCAAAGTATAAAGATATTTTAAGGTAGTTTATTCTTTCAGCAAGTACTTAGTATACTGAAATTGTAGGTACTTGGAAGATGAATTATAATGTTGTCATACTTTCTAGTTTGACTATCAAGTTTCATGAAATAGTCTCAAAAATATTTTCATAGCTGTCCATTGTTTCTACCTATACAACATTAAATTTCTGTCTTTTCTGCCTCAGTGAAAATGGATTCATATTCCTTTATGAAATTTAAATGTATGCATGGGAGTACCTGACTTAAAATATTAATACAAGGTACTAGGCAACCAAGTAGTATTGAGGGATTGGTTATCAAACTGCAGAATATCATCAGGTATTGATTTATGATGGGAATCTTCTATCATGTAATATTAGTTTTCTGTGGCTACCATAGAAAACTGTAGCTAAAAAGTCCTGGTGGTCTCTGCTAGTCCTCTGCAGAGAGTTTCATATGGCTGAAAAAAAACGTCAGCCGATTAGGCCCTTATCAGGACTCCCTGGAAAGTATCCATTGCCCACAGTTTCTAGAGGCTTCTCTCTTCCTTGCAAGTAACACGACATTTGTGAGCTAGTCACTGGTGCAATGAATCTTTTTCATACTTGAAATCTCTGACTTCTTAATTCATCACTCTACTACTTTCTTTCCTCATTCATCTGTGACTTTAGCTGGAGAAATTTCTCAGCTTCTAAAGGCCAACATCATTAGATCAGCTTTGATTATCCAGGTAGACCCAATTTCCCTATGTTCAAATCCTCAAGCATAATTCACATAAGCATAACCCACACCTGCAGATCTTTCTGCAGGGTAATACTCACAGATTCCGTGATTCTGGGGTATGGCAGGGTACGTTGGGCTTGTGCACGTTCAGTCGCTCAGTCATGTCCGACTCTTTGTGACCCTATGAACTGTAGCCTACCAGCTCTTTTGTCCAGGGGATTCTCCAGGCAAGAATATTGAAGTGGGTGGCCATGCCCTCTTCAAGGGGATCTTCCTGACTCAGGGATTGAACTTCCATCTTTTAAATCTCCTGCATTGGCAGGCGAGTTCTTTACCACCAGTGACCCCTGGGAGGTTAAGTTTCATTAATCCTACCACACCACATGCAACACTATGTAACATTTTACAGAAGGAGTAGTTACTATTGTTTTTTAACCACAGCCAATGACACTATCAAGGCCAACTGGTGTATTGTGAAGTTCAGAAAACTTGGTTTGAAATTTCAAAGCCTGTCTTCTAAATGTACGTCTGTGCATGCATCATCAGAATGATCCTAATATCTGAATCTCATTATCATTTCATCTCCCTTTATATAATCATTTTTTACACTAATTATTTTATCTTCTAAACTTTCCTGAGACATTGTTATTGTGTACTAGAATTTATGAGATCTCTATTTATTAATGATGTTTGTGCTTTTATCTGTATTTTTCAAACTGCCAATACCAGACCACATGCATTAGAATAATCTGGAGAATTTGTTAAAATATAGGATCCTTGGATCTAGTAACATATCCTGAATCAGACTGGAGTGAAGCCCTGGAATACGCATTGCAATTGCAAATCCAATGCAGAATAACTGATAAACATAAGTCATCTGTGATTTTCACAGATTGTCTCTTTTGTTACAAACTTCTGTTGCCTTGCTTCAGCCCATTTACTTTAAAACTGTGGAAGGTGATGTCCCTGCACAAAGTTTTACTTAGTTTCAGAGCTCTTAACCATTTATCAGCAATACTTTTCTTTTAAACTTTTTGAAGTTGAAGCTGCAAGGTATTTAATTTCTGTGCCAAATTTTCCCCATTAAAATCTAGATGCATATATTTTTACTTTTCCTCATTACTATCATACACTTGAATTTATTGTCACTGTTTCTCAAAATTTGTTTCATAGAACTTTGTTTCCATGGGTTTATTAAGGTTTTTAAAAACAAATTATTATAATAGTGTTCTGTGAAACAATAGGTTTGAAAAAAAACAGTAGTGCATACTAAGTTGAATAGCCAGAGAATCATCTTCCAAAATCTGGTAATATCTGTATTCTGTGGAGCACACAATCAAAATACTCTTTTGTCTTTCCAGATATGCCAATCAGTATTCAAAATATATTCTAGTTTTTGCTAACAGTTATTTTGTACAACGGACTCCTTTTACATTTTATTCCTTTCACATTTTATATATTATATGAATTGGTTAGTTTAATGTCTGGGAGAATTTCAATGCATACTGAATAATTTCAGTATGTGTCAATAATCCAATTTAACAACCAGAAATTACTATAAAAATTAAAAGTTTTGAAAACCACTTCAAACACAAAGTAACTATTATGCCATAATGACTACTGATGTGTATGACTAAGTAATTAAGAAATTACAGAGATAGAAGTCTCTGTTTTAGAAATTTTTTTATTAAATCAATTTTAAATTTTAATTCAGAGATAAAAAAAGTTTGTTATAATAGCAGTACTACTACCATGTAACATGTAGTGAGCGATTTCTTTGTGTCAGTCACAGTGCTAAACATTCTACACGGATTTCTGTCACTCTAGAAAATTATGAAAAAATTGTAATGAGAAAGAATTACAGAATTAAAGCACTAACCTTAAGGTAAAAATATGCTTATGTGCCCTGGAGATATAAACTATATACATTTTAGAGATTTACTTTATATCTAAACCACAAACTAATTTCATAATAGTTAAACACATGTGACCATATAGAATTTAGTGTAAAAGAGCATTACAAAAATAAGAATTACTGATAATGCTGTGTATTAAAACAAGATGAAACATTAAAGTTGAAATGTATTTTTGCACATATTACATGTGACCTATATATATTCTGTGTCCCTTTTAAACAATTCACATACAGAATAATGTTTACACTATTTACTATTCTATTTTAGCTACTCATCACACATGTTTATTGAAAAAATTTACTTGAAAATGTCAAAAGACTTCACTGAATTTTAATTTTAGGTGTTATTTTTTATTCTTAAGCTTTAAAAATTTAAACTGCAGTAGCATGAACTTTAATTAAGATATTACAATAGAGAATGAAGTCAATTATGCTTCTAGCAAGAGAGTTGAATTGTGGCAAGAGAGTTTTATACATTAAAATTATATATATTAAATAGTTTTCTAGCAATGAATACATTAGGTTAATAAAAGAAGTTAATGAATCATAATCTTAAATACTTTAAAGAATAAAGGAGATCATATTTTTGAAACATAATATAAGGAGATATATGCAGAAACTTTTATTTACTTATTTATTTTGGTCTCTTGATCAAGTTCAAACATTTTGCCTTTAGGGTACCATTAAAGTGAAAATTGCTCAGTCATATCCAGCTCTTTGTGACCCAGGCCAGAATACCTGGG